CGGGATGGGGGGGGGGGGGTAATTTGTGAAAGGGTGAGCATGCAGATGGGAGAGGGGATTTTGCTAACAGGATACAAGGGGAATTTGGCCAATATGGACCTCAGCACTGTGCTTTACACACTCCCTAACCCCTGCACTCTTCATCTTATACTCCTGCCCCCCCCCTTCTCCAGGGAAAGAGGACCCCACCCTGCAGGAGAAAATAGTGTGTGAAGAGGGCAGAGTATGTGCAGTGGGTGAACTTAATATGCTTCCCAGGTTGTGTTTTATATGTAATTTCTAATCAGACAATTTAGTTACGTCTATTATTTAGCGTTTTTCCGTGGTGCATTTCAGTCATTTTCTCCCTGAGATGTCCTTCATTCTTAAGTTCTAAGTTTGGGAGGTTTCTGATGGTATGTAGCAGGAAAAAGTTGTATACCCTCTCGAGCTCAGCAGTGGGTGGCTCAATGCTCATGAAAATCCTTTACCACGGGGTCTTCAGGGTTCCACCCCCTAAGATGGCCCTCTGCTAGTTTTTTGCCATTTAGAACCCTCTAAAGACAGCCCACCCTGGCTTGACCAAGATCCCATGGCATATCAGACTCATCATCCCCTGCTAGGGACTCCACATATACCAAGAGCACAGGAAAGTTCCATACAAAGTTCAAATAAACAAGGTTCCATACATTTGGCCACTCCTCTAGTCATGGAACAATAGCTTGGTAATGTAGCACAAACAGAGTTACACAAAAGTCTTTAAAGAAAGACCTGTGTCCTGCCCTACTGGAAGTCCAGAAATCCCTTAGCATAAGGTATGCCTCCCATCCTACCTTGTTTTATCCTCACTCTACTATTTTGCTCAGCCTCTGTGTGGAGAGGTAGCCATATGAAAGATCGATCTCTATTCCTGAACATGGTGTTATGTTCCACAAAATGAGGAGGAGATACTGGACACCATATGAAAGATTCATCCCCATTCCTCAATATAACGTCATGTTCCCAACAAGTGAGGAGGAGATACTGGACACCATATGAAAGGTCCATCTCCATTCCTCAATAGAACGTCATGTCCCCAACAAATGAGGAGGAGATACTGTACACCATATGGAAGGTCCATCTCTGTTCCTCAATAGAACGTCATGTTCCTAACAAATGAGAAGGAGATACTGTACACCATATAGAAGGTCCATCTCCGCTCCTCATTATAACGTCATGTTCCCAACAAAACGAGGAGATACTGGACACCATATGAAAGGTCCATCTCCTTTCCTCAATATAACGTCATGTTCCCAACAAATGAGGAGGAGATACTTGACACCATATGAAAGATCTATCTGCATTCCTCAATATAACATCATGTTCCCAACAAATGAGGAGGAGATACTGGACACCATATGAAAGGTCCATCTCCATTCCTCAATATAACGTCATGTTCCCAACAAATGAGGAGGAGATACTGGACACCATATGGAAGGTCCATCTCCATTCCTCAATATAACGTCATGGTCCCAACAAACGCATAGGAGATACTGGACAACATAACATAAGATGCAGTTATTAAAACTACCTCAAGATGGCATTGAATGCACAGACAGGAAGTGATATAACAAAGGAACAGGAAGTGATGTAAGAAAAGAAAGAAAAGACGTTCTATAAGGTAAAAATAGGAAGTTTTGTGAGAAAAAAAAGAGCGAGGTTGAGCAGAGACAACTCTGGATTATGCTGGAGGAGGTAATATTATTATTTACACCCACTAACCCCCCATCATGTCCATCATTTAGTACAATTTATCCTACCGTCCATCCAGAGCCTCTGGTTTATAGACCGGATACGTCCTAAATATAGAACCATTTATCCAACCGTCCATCCAGAGCTTCTGGTTTTATAGACCGGATACGTCCTAAATATAGAACCATTTATCCAACCGTCCATCCAGAGCCTCTGGTTTATAGACCGGATACCTCCTAAATATAGAACCATTTATCCAACCGTCCATCCAGAGCCTCTGGTTTATAGACCGGATACGTCCTAAATATAGAACCATTTATCCAACCGTCCATCCAGAGCCTCTGGTTTATAGACCGGATACGTCCTAAATATAGAACCATTTATCCAACCGTCCATCCAGAGCCTCTGGTTTATTATAGACCGGATACGTCCTAAATACAGAACCATTTATCCAACCGTCCATCCAGAGCCTTTGGTTTATAGACCGGATACGTCCTAAATATAGAACCATTTATCCAACTGTCCATCCAGAGCCTCTGGTTTATAGACCTGATACGTCCTAAATATAGAGCCATTTATCCAACCGTCCATCCAGAGCCTCTGGTTTTTATAGACCGGATACGTCCTAAATATAGAACCATTTATCCAACCGTCCATCCAGAGCCTCTGGTTTATAGACCGGATACATCCTAAATATAGAGCCATTTATCCAACCGTCCATCCAGAGCCTCTGGTTTATAGACCGGATACGTCCTAAATATAGAACCATTTATCCAAATCACATGACCACATAGATAGGGACCACCGCATATTTCTATACCTTGGGAATTTTGGAATTCTTGCAATACGTGTTCAAGTGGACTAACTGTTTCAAAGTCATCCCTTTCTGGCCAGTCCTGACTCAGAATCCAAATGCATATCTGCTTACAGCATACTTTAATGGACTTATAGTGCTAATATTGGGCAGACATACTGTAGTTGGAGGGTATTAAATCTGACCAGAGAGGTGAGGAGGATTCTGGGAATGTACTTAATGATAATTTAATTGTGCACAGGATTAATGAAGTAGTGAAGAGGACATCTGCATAGTTAAAAACCAACTGCCAATCCCATGGTCCATCTTTAGAAGGACACAAGGATCTCTACAAGGACGTCATGATGGACAATCAGCCGCCCCTCACATCACCGGGTAAGAGGAGACTTTATTGGAAAGGGGGAGAGCAGTACGGAGGGTCCACCTAGATCCCCCATCATCTGATAAACACATAGAAACAATGGATTCAGTCAGTGTGTGTGTTTCCTACAGATGGATCCAGTCATGGGAACCCACCAGAGAGATGTCCCCGTCCTCTGTATTCCTGGGATTCCACACAGGAAGGTCACACCATCCCTCACCATCATCAGGTAGGTGAAGTCGGAGAGATCTGCAACTCAAAAATTATTCCAAACTGAGATTATCATCTCTGAGGTCTCCAGTTATTCGTTTTGAGACTGTTCCTTTTTATCATTCTCTGGTTTTAGGTCGAGGAACTGATTGATACAAAAGCCAAGGTGAAGAAGATAGAAAAAGAGACATATGTGATGGGTGATCAGCAGTGTAAAAAGGAAGATGAGGTTATGGATACCATTAAAGAGGAGGAAGCTTCTCTGTACATCAACACAAGTAAGTAATGAGCTGAACGTCATCCCTACTGTCCAATATATGAAAGATGAATCTCCATTCCTTAATATAACATCATGTTCCCAACAAACGAGGAGATACTGGACACCATATGAAAGGTCCATCTCCATTCCTCAATATAACGTCATGTGCCCAACAAATGAGGAGGAGATACTGGACACCATATGAAAGGTCCATCTCCGTTCCTCAATATAAACATCCCGTTCCCAACAAATGAGGAGGAGATACTGGACACCATATGAAAGGTCGATCTCCATTCCTCAATATAATGTCACGTTCCCAACAAATGAGGAGGAGATACTGGACACCATATGAAAGGTCCATCTCCGTTCCTCAATATAACGTCACGTTCCCAACAAATAAGGAGGGGATGCTGGACACCATATGAAAGGTCCATCTCCATTCCTCATTTTAACTTCATGTTCCCAACAAATGAAGAGGAGGTACTGGACACCATATGAAAGTTCCACCTCCATTCCCCATTTTAACTTCATGTTCCCAACAAATGAAGAGGAGGTACTGGACACCATATGAAAGGTCCACCTCCATTCCTCATTTTAACTTCATGTTCCCAACAAACGAGGAGGAGATACTGGACACCATATGAAAGGTCCATCTCCATTCCTCAATATAACGTCATGTTCCCAACAAATGAGGAGGAGATACTGGACACCATATGAAAGGTCCATCTCCATTCCTCAATATAACGTCCCGTTCCCAACAAATGAGGAGGAGGTACTGGACACCATATGAAAGGTCCACCTCCATTCCTCATTTTAACTTCATGTTCCCAACAAACGAGGAGGAGATACTGGACACCGTATGAAAGGTCCACTGTCTCAAACCATCTACTGTAGAAGGTCCACAGTCCCAGAAACTTTCCTGTTGTCCATTCACTAAATATTATGTGCAACCCTTTGGTGAAATCAGAAGTTGAACCCGAGACCCATCTACTTCTGTACATCATGAACGGCATTTCTTCGTTCTTCAGTATGTTGTCCATCTGGCCTGGTTTGTATTGGTCGTTCAGTGTTATGATTGCACCCAATTCAATGCCAGAGCTCTGAGAATGTTGTGACTTCTGACCTGATATATATGACTCCTGAATACAAGGCGTATAAAAAAAAAACATAACATATTGAAAACTTTCCTTCCAACAGATGGACAGTATTGTTCAGAGATCAATACACGTGAAGGACGTCTTACTGCATCTCCAGGTTACCCTGCTGAAGACGGTGATATTGGACAATCTCCTCCAAAAGTAACACTTTACTGGATGGTAAGACCAATGAATCGTTCTCATCCTGAGGAATCTTCTGATAGATCCCATACTATGACTTCAGATGTCCATCTAAGATCATTGGAACCTTCTAATCCCGAGGATTCTTCTTCAAGCTATGAAGAAGCTCACACAGGTGGGAGCTCATTGCCATGTTTGGTGTGCGGGAAAACGTTCACCAAGAAAACCGCACTTTCTAACCATTTGAAATCTCATAAGGCTGAGCGTCCTTATTCATGTTTTGAGTGCGGGAAATGTTTCCCTAAGAAACAAAAACTTCTTAGACACCAGAAAATTCACACGGGTGAGCGTCCCTTTTCCTGTTCACAGTGCGGAAAATGTTTTCCTAATAAAGAAATCCTTGTTACACACCAGATAATTCATACGAGCGAGCGTCCCTATCGCTGTTCAGAGTGCGGAAAATGTTTTACTAAAAAGGGAGGCCTTCATAAACACCAGAGAACTCATACGGGTGAACGTCCCTATTCCTGTTTAGAGTGCGGGAAATCTCTTTCTAGTAATGGAGCCCTTCATCAACATCTGAGAATTCATACGGGCGAGCGCCCCTTTTCCTGTTCAGAGTGCGGAAAATGTTTTTCTAGCCATGGAAACTTTCTTAGTCACCAGAGAATTCACACTGGCGAGCGTCCCTTTTCCTGTTTGGAGTGCGGAAAATGTTTTTCTGAAAAAGGAAGCCTTAACAAACACCAGAGGATTCATACAGGCGAGCGTCCCTATTCCTGTTCAGAGTGCGGGAAATCTCTTTCTACTAAAGGAGCTCTTCGTCAACATCAGAGGATTCATACGGGTGAGCGCCCCTTTTCCTGTTTAGAATGCGGAAAATGTTTTTCTGACCAAGGAAACCTTCTTAAGCACCAGAGAGTTCATACGGGCGAGCGGCCTTTTTCCTGTTTGGAGTGCGGCAAAAGGTATTGTGACCAGACAAACCTTCGCAGACACCAAAAAAAAGGACACTGCTGACCGACCATATTTATGTTCAAAGTGCGGAAAATATTTTCCCAAGAAATAAACCCTTCCTTCAGGTGTGCATCCTTATATCGTTCTCTCTAGAAGGAGAAATGTCGCTCAGGCGCCCATCCCTGTTCATGCTGAGCGTGCGGGAAATTTTTCAAGACAAAAGGAGCCCTTGTTAGGCTCCAGAGAATTATCTCAGGTGAGCTTCCTTATGCATGTCCCAGTGTGTGGGAAATGTTTCATTAAAAAAAAAGAAACCCTTGTTACCCACTAGAAAAGTCACAGGTGAGCGTTCTTATTCATGTTCAGCATGCGGGAAATGTTTCAACACAAAAGCAGCCCTTGTTAGACCCTTCCATATGTATAAAGCTTTGTGAATTGAGCCTCGTATGTTGTATTTCAATGTTCAGTTTGCTTTCGCATTTATAAATATTAAAACTCTCTGCATCTGATGTCTTTCATTTTATTTTTTGCATTGTCTGGATGTGATGTGAGGTATAATTTGTGTGTGAAATCAATCGATGTTACCTAACAGAAGAATGGACCACCAGGTCAGGTGTCAGGACCTGGATCACCTGCTGGTGGCGTATACTTCCCTGTAGTTCTGGTGGCCGTAGGGCACTGGATGCAGGGCAGGAGTAAGATCAGGGACAGGATCATAATAAAGGGCAGGCTTTGGCAACATCAGAGCAAAACACTGGAGTGAGAGGCACTTGTAGGTGAGGGACCTAAATACCCGTCAAGCAGCCAGCATCAGATGGAAACTGATTACTGGGATCTGCTATCAGAGCCAAGGAAGAGTCCAAAGGAAGGGGGATCCAGGATTGGGATCGGGAACAAGAGGAGCAGATAAGAGATAGTAGAGCACCGGATACTGGGTTGGAGGAAGATCAGGGTCAGAATAACTGGCACACAGTCTCTGGCAGCAGAGCCAAACACTGAAATGAGAGGCACTAGTAGGTGAGGACCTAAATACCCTCCCAGCAGATATGAGTAATCAGTTTGCACCTGATGCTGGCTGCTGGGAGGGTATTTAGGTCCTCCTTTACTAGTGCCTCTTGTTCCAGTGTTTGGCTCTGCTGCTGGAGACATTCTGATCCTGACCCTGATCTTCCTCCAACCCAGCATCCTGTGCCCTACTATCTCTTATCTGCTCCTCTTGTTCCCGATCCCAGTCCTGGATCCCCCTTACTTTGGACTCTTCCTTGGCTCTGATAGCAGTTCCCAGTAATCAGTTTGCACCTGATGGTGGCTGCTGGGAGGGTATTTAGGTCTCTCTAGTGCCTCTCATTCCAGTGTTTTTCCCTGCTGCCCAAGACTGCATTCGATTTATTCTGACCCTGATCTTCCTCCTGGTCCTGCATCCTGTGTCCTATTATCTCTTATCTGCTCCTCTTGTTCCCGATCCCAGTCCTGGATCCCCCTTCATATCTCTTCCCTGAGTCTCCATTTTACCGGTCTCAGTCTCCTAAGTGTAGCTACACAGATCTGGCCAAACCTCCTGCAGATCCCTGACATGGGGAAAAATGATGAAACAATGTAGTCTGCAAAATATCTATATATATATATATATATATATATATATATATACAGTCAGGTCCATAAATATTGGGACATCGACACAATTCTAACATTTTTGGCTCTATACACCACCACAATGGATTTGAAATGAAACGAACAAGATGTGCTTTAACTGCAGACTGTCAGCTTTAATTTGAGAGTATTTACATCCAAATCAGGTGAACGGTGTAGGAATTACAACAGTATGTGCCTCCCACTTGTTAAGGGACCAAAAGTAATGGGACAATTGGCTTCTCAGATGTTCCATGGCCAGGTGTGTGTTATTCCCTCATTATCCCAATTACAATGAGCAGATAAAAGGTCCAGAGTTCATTTCAAGTGTGCTATTTGCATTTGGAATCTGTTGCTGTCAACTCTCAAGATGAGATCCAAAGAGCTGTCACTATCAGTGAAGCAAGCCATCATTAGGCTGAAAAAACAAAACAAACCCATCAGAGAGATAGCAAAAACATTAGGCGTGGCCAAAACAACTGTTTGGAACATTCTTAAAAAGAAGGAACGCACCGGTGAGCTCAGCAACACCAAAAGACCCGGAAGACCACGGAAAACAACTGTGGTGGATGACCAAAAATTCTTTCCCTGTTGAAGAAAACACCCTTCACAACAGTTGGCCAGATCAAGAACACTCTCCAGAAGGTAGGTGTATGTGTGTCAAAGTCAACAATCAAGAGAAGACTTCATCATAGTGAGTACAGAGGGTTCACCACAAGATGTAAACCATTGGTGAGCCTCAAAAACAGGAAGGCCAGATTAGACTTTGCCAAATGACATCTAAAAAAGCCTTCACAGTTCTGGAACAACATCCTATGGACAAATGAGACCAAGATCAACTTGTACCAGAGTGATGGGAAGAGAAGAGTATGGAGAAGGAAAGGAACTGCTCATGATCCTAAGCATACCACCTCATCAGTGAAGCATGGTGGTGGTAGTGTCATGGCGTGGGCATGTATGGCTGCCAATGGAACTGGTTCTCTTGTATTTATTGATGAGTGTGACTGCTGACAAAAGCAGCAGGATGAATTCTGAAGTGTTTCGGGCAATATTATCTGCTCATATTCAGCCAAATGCTTCAGAACTCATTGGACGCCGCTTCACAGTGCAGATGGACAATGACCCAAAGCATACTGCAAAAGCAACCAAAGAGTTTTTTAAGGGAAAGAAGTGGAATGTTATGCAATGGCCAAGTCAATCACCTGACCTGAATCCGATTGAGCATGCATTTCACTTGCTGAAGACAAAACTGAAGGGAAAATGCCCCAAGAACAAGCAGGAACTGAAGACAGTTGCAGTAGAGGCCTGGCAGAGCATCACCAGGGATGAAACCCAGTATCTGGGGATGTCTATGTGTTCCAGACTTCAGGCTGTAATTGACTGCAAAGGATTTGCAACCAAGTATTAAAAAGTGAAAGTTTGATTTATGATTATTATTCTGTCCCATTACTTTTGGTCCCTTAACAAGTGGGAGGCACATATGCAAACTGTTGTAATTCCTACACCGTTCACCTGATTTGGATGTAAATACCCTCAAATTAAAGCTGACAGTCTGCAGTTAACGCACATCTTGTTCGTTTCATTTCAAATCCATTGTGGTGGTGTATAGAGCCAAATATGTTAGAATTGTGTCCATGTCCCAATATTTATGGACCTGACTGTATATCACAAGGCGGTGATGTCATTCATCCCAACTGTCCCAGATTCTGCTGGCCTGTCCCCAGATTTCAACAAAATCCCAGGATCTGCAGTTCTGGAGCCCAGTACCAGAACAAGGTTGGGCACTTGAATCCAAAAATGAACCTTGTAGGGACACACTGGCACCTAGATTGTTTCCTGTTGTAGGGAGCCACGGGTCCCTGACCCTACGATCACCCATCCTACACCAGCTGGGACCTCTCCCCGATGGCTGTCTGTCACAATGATATAGGGTCAGAGCCGAGGAAAGGTTCCTTTAGACTCTTCCTTAGCTTTGATGTCTCTCCTGTCACCAGGGAAGCTCAGGAGGAAGGACTACCCCTTGGCATTGAGCCACACTTATTGGAGGAGGTGATGTGGAAGGGGGGATGGAATAAGAGGATTCGTGTTGGGGAGCAATTTTTTGGGGGAATGATTTGTTCTTGAAGGGGGAGGCTTGGGAGGAGGATTTGTGCTGGGAGGGGGATTTGGAGGAAGGGAATGGAGAGAATTTATACCAGAAGGGGAAAATTGGGGGGGTTGTGCTCGAAGGAAAGATTGTTGCTGTGAGGGGTGATTGGTGGCAAGAAGATTTGTACTGGAAGGCCAATTAGGGTAGGAAGATTTGTGCTGGAAGGGGTGAGTGTGCAGATTGGTGCAGGGTTTTTTTTGAAGGGAGAGAGGGGGTTTTGCTAAAAGGGTAAAGTGCGGAGAACATTGCTTTGTCATGATCCCAACAAATGAGGAGGAGATACTGGACACCATATGAAAGGTCCATCTTCATTCCTGAATATAGCGTCATGTTCCCAACAAATGAGATACTGGACACCATATGAAAGGTCCATCTCCATTCCTCAATATAAAATCATGTTCCCGACAAATGAGGAGGAGATACTGGACACCATATTAAAGGTCCGTCTCCATTCCTCAATATAACGTCATGTTCCCAACCAATGAGGAGGAGATACTGGACACCATATGAAAGGTCCATCTTCATTCCTCAATATAACGTCATGTTCCCGACAAATGAGGAGATACTGTACACCATATGAAAGGTCCATCTCCATTCCTCAGTATAACGTCATGTTCCCAACAAATGAGGAGGAGATACTGGACACCATATGAAAGGTCCATCTCCATTCCTCAGTATAACGTCATGTTCCCAACAAATGAGGAGGAGATACTGGACACCATATGAAAGGTCCATCTCCATTCCTCAATATAACGTCATGTTCCCAACAAATGAGGAGATACTGGACACCATATGAAAGGTCCATCTCCATTCCTCAATAGAACGTCATGTTCCCAACAAATGAGGAGGAGATACTGGACACCATATGAAAGGTCCATCTCTATTCCTCAATATAACGTCATGTTCCCAACAAATGAAGAGGAGATACTGGACACTATATGGAAGGTCCATCTCCATTCCTCAATAGAACGTCATGTTCCCAACAAATGAGACACTGGACAACATAACGTAGGATGTAGTTATTAAAACTACCTCAAGATGGCGATATCACTTAGAATGCTCAAACAGGAAGTGACTTAAGGCAAAGACAAGGCGTTTCTATAAGGTAAAAACAGGACGTTTTGTGAGAAA